TGATCCACATCAAATCTCAAAAGAGTGAATGACAAACAGGCAATAATAAAGATAGCTATTCTATTTGAACATTGGATGAGTTCAATGTATCAAGAATTGAGTTCAATGGAAAGCATGTGTTATGTCTACCTATGCAATAAATCTGTGCATCTTCCAAAGTATTCAAATCATGTTTGATTCTAAAAAGATTAAAATAATAAACAAATGGTACGATGAGTGTTCAACATGTGTTGAGGTGTGTTCATATCAAATAAAATACCTTCACAAAAGTGTCAATGCTTCTTAGTGATTGACAATAAATAAATTTTATTAAAAATAACAAAAGAAAACATACAAAGGAAGAACTCCACTAGAAGCACAAAATGGAAGGAGGGAAATAAAAAGAAGAGGACATCACATACTGCCCTCTAATCCTTGTCAAGCAAAAACAATGGAATCCCTTATTGCAGGGGAAGAAACAAAAGCCTAAAATGATGATCTATGATAAATCTTATCCCGCATCCCTCTAGGTCCTCAAATTTATCTTTAAAAAATGGTTGCAATTCATTTTCAACCAAATTTCCCAAAATATTGCAAAGGTGACACAATCCCATAGAACTTGAGCTCTCTTATAGATAGTTTGATACCAAATCCCCAGTAATTAAACAAAAGCATTTGAATAGAAAATGGACAACCCACCCAATCCATAGTGAACACATAAAATAGTTTGCGCCATAATGAAAATGCCACGGGACAATGCAAAAAATTATGGTCAATACTTTCTTCATCCTTTTAACATAAAATAAGACACTATGAAAGCAAAGAGCAAATGCTTTTTTGAAACAAATCATTAGTATTTAATCTTCTTATTAGCCACCGAACAAAGAAAAAATTTTACTTCTAAGGGGCACACAAGATTTCCAAATCAATTCATAAGGGGAAAAAGAAGAACAATATGATTAATAGAATATCTATTAATTCATGAAAGAAAGACTTGCAAGAAAACAAATCCAAGGAATGAGTGAACCACACTTTTCCATTCATAGCATAATGCCTCAAAGAAACAAACATAATGAAATAGCTAACAACGATACCAAATCATTAGCCTCCCTATCATTTAAATTTCTGGAAATTTTGAAATTCTAAGAAATAGGAGCCTCATATAAACAAGCAAGAGAAGAAATAAAAATATTATTAGACCAAGGTAAGCACTAATGTGCGAAAACCACCAATAAAAATCATCACCAGCCCAAACATCCTTCCAAAAGCAAACATTCTCTCCATTCCATACCATAAGACAAATGAAATGTAAAAAAATGATCAAGTTTCAGAGAATTGCAGATGCATGGAGCTCTAAAATTTCCCTTGAAAACCATCTAAGATTCCCAACCATTGGGGTATTGTTTCCCTTCCAAAGTATAAAGGGAGTCTTGACATTGGGAACATTTTGGCTAAGGCACTATTTAAGTAAATGATGGTTGGGGAGATTCCCTTAAGCCAAATGCTTTATGGCATTATATGATTAAGAGCACATGTTTCCCTCATCACAACCTTTCCACAAACATCCCTTATCAATATTTCATTTCTATCAAGCACTCGAATCAGTATCTTAAACAAGGACAAGAAATAAATAGGAATGGGCTGATTTCACCAAGTGTACCTGCCTCCCTTAAAAATCAAAGCCAATTTCAACCCTCCAATCTTGACAATGATTGGATCCTAAAAATCATCACCAAGAATTACCTCCTAAAAGTAAAACTAAATATTTAAAGAGGCAACTATTCAAAGGGATACCTAGGGTACAAAGAGAAGAAATGGAGGGAGGAGAAGGATGGAAGCCTGTGTTCAAACAAAGAATAGGAAGGTATGGGCCATCATCAAACATGCATACAATCTTTGCTGATAAGATTCCGAAATCAATGAATCCTAAAGAACTATATGTTATGTTTTCAAACTTTGGGGTGGTGAAGGATGTTTACATCCCATATAAGAGAAGGAAAGCCACAAAGTCCAAATTTCGCTTTGTTAGATATGACTGTCCCGTTGCAGCGGGGATAGCTATTCAGAAAACGAATGGAAATGGTGTGATAACAAAGTTCTAAAGGTGAAAAGGGCAGATTTCGGAAAGGGTCAAGGCCAACCTAAGAAACGAGGAGTGGCACAGAGATTTGAAGCTCCAGCAAGAACAAGGGTTGAGGGCAAACAAAGGAGGAGCTCTTACGCTGATATCCTACAAGGGAGGATAGAAGGAGGTGGAAACGACATCAGAATCAAGGCAGAAGATTTTGGAAATGGATGGCTGTATGAGAGTGTGATAGTCAAGTTGAACACTCATTGCAACTTTACAGAGTTCAAGAAGGAGCTTCCAAATAGAGGATTAAAGGACTTGCACGTGAGAGGAGGAGGTAGAATTGCATATGTAATGTTCAAATCAATAGAAGCAATGAAAAACAGAGCGAATAAACTTGGTGAATGGATGAAAGACTAGAGTGACTCAATTCTTGAATGGGAAAATGTGATGAGAGTGGACCATGAAAGATTTGTATGGCTAAATTGTTATGGAATGCCTTCCAATCTATGGAATATTACAAACTTTCAAAAAATAGGAGAATTGGAAAGCAAAAGTAGCATCTACCCAATTCAAGTAGTTGAGGAGAGTAACCCAGAAGAAAGCTACAAGGACAGGGATGACCAGAGCTCTGCAAACTGCCATGGGAACAACAATGAAGATGATGACGTGGATGACATGGAAGCTGGGATGGACGATTATGGTGACATGGCAATTGGTAAAAGGACCATAGATAGAAAGGAGGGGACAGTAGATGGGCATAATTGCAACTCTGCATCTGTCTCAATGGTGAACGAAACAAGAGCAGAAGTGGGAACTCTAAATTCGGCAAAGAAGCTACAGTGATGATGATCAATAGGAGCACAAAGGAAATAGGGGAAGATCTAGAAGAAGGAAGGCAAATAAGGGACTACCCTTTAGCAATGGTTTTCAAAGGGGAGCATTATTTCATGTATCAGCTGTTGCAGTTTCAACTTCAGTATCAGTCAGAAGCAGCTAAAGCAAACAGAGGAAACTACAGGAAGAAGCTCAGGCTACAATCCAAGTTGGAAAGGCTCTGGGGGTGGAGATGAGAGGAAAGGACGGAAAAAGTATTGAAAAAATAATCCAGATGGAGAATGATGATGCTGAAAGACTAAGTGCAAAAGGGGACAAGGGAGGTGCTTAATTTAGCATCTTTGGAAGTTGAAGGTGAAATGTTGGTTTTTTACGAAGATTATGTCATGGAACGTGAGAGGATTAGAAAGGGTGGAAAAAAGAATCAAGGAGCTACTGAGAGTGAAGAAAATTGATATCGCTTTGTTACAAGAATCAAAAATATCAAACACTACTGAAGACTTTGTTAGGTCTATATGGCCTAATGACCCGATGAAGTTTACAGCTGTAGATGCTAAAGGAAGTGCAGGTGGGCTGCTATGTATGTGGAAGGCAGAAGAAGTATTTGTCTTGAAAGATTGTTGCTGCTCCCGAAACTTCATCTTACTTATAGGTACTATTCATTTAAGTATTGAATGTGTGATTGGAAATGTATATGCCCCAAATGAAGATACGAATAGAAGAAGGGTTTGGGGTGTGTTAAATAACCTAAAGAGTGTCTTCCCTAAACCATAGTGTATGAAAGAAAATGGTGTCCAAGAAGAGATAGAGAAATGGTTGAGTTTGGTAATTTCATTCGCAATCTTGAAATGATAGATATTCCAATGTTGGAAAAACAATATACATGGGGTAATTCTCAGAACTGCAGCAGGTTAGACAGATTCCTAGTGAACCTTGAATGGCTAGAGTGGTTTAGATTTGACTATAACGAGCAAATGACTCTATGAAAAGACAACCACAAATTCACTTTCTCCACCTATCATCACTAACACAGTATTTTTAAAGGCTCTAGTCGCACTGAGGCAATAAGGTCTAGCCTAAGCGAAAGGTGCGCACCTCACCAAAGCAAAGCGCAAGTAGTCGAAGGAAAAGAAAATTATAAAATAGGCAAAATTTTCACCATAACAAATATATATAAAATTTCAAAACCATTTCAGATAATTTTAAAATATAACATTCAATTTTCTAAAAATTAGAAAAATAATACCCAACAATTTATTTTTATTTTTATTTGATAAAAAAGTAGATTTTATTAAAAAACATCAAGATGATGCAAAGAAAAAAATATCCAACAAAAAATATAAAGTATAACATTCAATCTTTTTTCACTTTTTGCTCTCTTTTGATCACGTTTGGTCATTTTATATTGAAGAGTTTTGATTCCCTATGGGTATGCACACAAAAAAAGTACTTAATCAATACCTCAAATAGAAAAATATATAAAGTCCATGAAACCCACTCCTCGTGCCTCAAAAAAAAGTCTTCACCTCAACACCTAAGTTGTGCCTTGTGTATTGTGTCTCGTCTCGACTTGTTCGAAGCACAAGACTGCGCCTCATAGCACATCCGGCGCACGCCTTTTAAAACACTTAGGCGAACACCTTTTAAAACACTGGTCCAACAAGTTGTACTCCACATGATCACGTGTTTTCAAAAACAACCTTAAAAATGGCACCGCTCTCTCTTGTTGCCTCCACTTCATTCCTCTACCACCTCCTTTGCAATCAAAACCACATCTAAGATCAGACATCCCTCCATAAATGCCCATTGAGCAAAGGGCACAGTTTCCCCTAAAATAGATTTGGATTGATAACACTATTACCCAAACTTTATAAAGAAATAAACAATATTAATTGGCCTAAAATTCCCAATCCCAATAAATTATCCTTTTTAGTAATTAGGAACCAAACAATTAAGTATACACATACACACAAGAAAAGAGTGCAAATGCCCAAACAATGACAGTAAAAAATAATTTCGGAATATGTTTTACTTAAATTCAATCAAAAAGCTTGAATGAAACATATTTGATACTATCCAAAAGTTAATTTAACAATTGTAAACATATTAAACATACAAAATCAGTGTTGCTGCAGTTGCTAAGGGTTTGGCGGAGGTGGCATCCCAGGGCGAGGAGGGCCAAACACAGGAACAGCACCCGGCGGAGGCGGCATCCCAGGCCTCGGCGGCGGCGGTCCAGCCTGCATCCCCGGCCTCGGCGGAGGAGGTGGTCCTCTCATCATCTGCGGAGGCGGAACCATCGGTCTCTGCCCAAACTGCGGCGGCGGCATCGGGTACGGTGCAGAGCCCGGCCGTAGGGCAAACTGCGGCGGCATGGGGGGCCCCCTCCCCATCTGCTGGGGCGGATACCCAGGCATCTGCCCAGGCGGCCGAATCACCGGCGCCGAAGCCTGCGCCGGGTAAGTCATCGGCGGAGCAGACATCTGCAGCATAGGAGGGCGGGAGATCTGCGGCTGCATCATCCCCGGAGCCGGTCCACCAACTCCACGAACGGGGCCAGCCAAACCGGGCTGTGCTTGGATGAGGGGGGCAGTGGGGACACCACGGCCGGCGGCGCGGCCAATGCCGGGACCGGCCAATGCGGCGGCGCCGGCGGCCTTGGCGCGGGACTCTTCGGGAGGGGGAGGGCCTTCGACGGTCATGGAAATGACTTCTTCGCCCCTGAGGAGGACGAGACCTAGGGTTCGGCGGTCGTCTCGATCTTCGGTGGTCTTCTTGGAGCCCTTGCCTGGGGGGAGTTTGCGGAACTCTTCGCAATCGCCGAGGACGAGATTCATGTGACGATCGAATGCCATGAATTTGCCTACCAGTTGTCGACCATCTTGGATTGTCACTCGCATTCGGTAGTTTATGTATTGAAGCATCTTTGAACTCTTCGACATCGACATCTTCTTCTTCGGAGTTTCGAATCTTCTGCCGGCTTCTGACCTGATTGATTTCTCTGCCTTGAGATTTCTCTTTAGGGGTTGAGAGAGAGAGAGAGAGAGAGATAAGGGGGGGGGAGGGGCGGGGGGGGAGTGAAAGCGTCAGAGGTTTTTCTAGGGTTTTTGAGGCTGTGTTTGGTTATGTGTTTCGAACACACAGATTTAAACAGCGTTTGTTTGTTTTGAATTTTTAAATTCTAATTTTATATTTATTTTTGAAAAATCCTTTTCGGATAAAAAAATTTGACTAACTCGAAATTTCGGCTGGTTAACTAGAGCAATGTTTTTTTTTTTTTACACCTATTATGTTTATATTGTAAATAAAAAATATTTTCAAAATTTTTAAATTTTTTATATGAATTTTGAATAGAATTTTGAGTTATGTGTTTAGTTAAAGCATCTCTAATGGAGCTCTCAAAACACTTGTCAAAGCTATAATATAGCTGATAAGACAACCACAGCAACAACAGTAGCTCCAGGTTTAGCTTCAGCTTCAAAATCAGTTGCAACTGCTACAGCTCTAGCTGTACATTCTCAATCAGTTACATCAAGAGCATTGTATAGTCAGTTAGGAATTGGTTAAGTAGTTAGGAATTGGTTAGGTAGTTACAATGAATTAGTTACAAGCTTAATTCAGCATTGTATATATAAATACAGTTGTGTGATTCATAATTCAATAATGAGAAAGAATATCCTTTTCTTCATGGTATCAGAGCTCCTATAGCTCCCACGAGCACTCTGAATTTCTGATATCAATTTCTCTGTAGTTCTTCAAAGCTCTTCAAGAAGCTTCACAAATCTTCAATGACTTCTTCCACATCTTCAATGACTACCTCAAGCACTCTTCCTCCAAATCTCAGTCTTCTCATCTCAAATATCAATTCCTTTATAACTGTCAAGCAAGATTCATCAAATTTTATCATTTGGAGAAGTCAAGTTCTCAATATTCTACGTGCTACAAATTTGCTAGGGTTTGTTAATGGTTCTTCTCCTCCTCCACCATTAACAATCAAAAATGTTGATGGAGCTGAAGAAATCAATCTAGATTATGCACAGTGGAAACAGATTGATGCACATCTCCTGAGTTGTATTACAGCTACACTCATACTTGTGATTTTTTCTTCTGTTTGGCATCTGCAACAGAGTGCTGAGGTCTGAAATGTTATTTCTAAACGATTCACTACTGTGTCTCGTAGTCATATTCATCAAATGGAGAATCGTTTGAATAATATGACTAAAAGCTCTCAGACAATTAAAGAATACTTGTCTCAGATTAAAAATCTGGCAGATCAATTTGCACTTGCTTCTTCTCCTATAGAAGAAGAACATCTAGTTCTTCTCACCTTGAACGGTTTACCAGATGAACTTGATGCTTTAAAGACTACAATTCGAGCAAGAACTGAAGCTATTTCTATGGAGGAACTTTTCTCTCTTCTCTGTTCAGAGTCTCTGCATATTGATTCAAAAACAAAAAAGATTCAAGCACATGAATCCCCCATTGCATATGCTACTACTCGTGGCTCTTTTGGCCGAGGACGGTCTTCGTTCAGAGGTAACAGAGGTAGTTCTAGATATGGCTACAGAGGTCGATACTCTCCTAAAGGAAGAGGTAGACAATTATCAGGAGGACAACACAACAACAACTTGATTTGTCAAATTTGTGGTAAGACTAATCACTTAGCCTTGGATTGTTGGCATAGGTTAGATCCTACTTATCTTCCCACTCGGCCACAGTCTCAGCAAACTGCCTCTCCATCTTATCAATCTTCACAATCATCAACTGGACTGTCTAACTCTCAAGCTTATGTGGCCTCTGCTCCATCTCAATATGACTCTTCCCCATGGTATCTTGATTCAGATGCATCTGATCATATGACTAATGATCTGTCAAATCTGAGTCTTCATCAACCTTACCAAGGTTCTGATCATATCACTATTAGTAATGGTAATTCTATCCCTATTCTTCACACTGGTAAGGGTCTTTTGCCCACTCCACATCATACTTTTAAACTCAATAAAGTTTTACACACTCCTATTGCTTCTAATCTTGTGTCTGTGCACAAACTCACTAAAGATAATCATTGTACAATTACATTTGATGATTCTTTCTTCGTTATTCAGGACAAGCACACGAAGGGCATTTTGCACAGGGCCTTAATTCTCATGGTTTATATCATTTTCATGCATCATCCATGCCTGCCTCTTCTTCATCTGCTGCAACTGTTTCTCCTTCTTCTTCTATTTCTCATAATGCTTTCTTTAATTCCACTGCTACTGTTATGCCTGAAACTGTTTGGCACCAGAGGTTGGGTCATCCATCACCTCTCAAGTTTAATAAACTGAAGTCTTCTCTTTCTGTTGCTTGTAATAAAGCCAAGAATAATGATTCCCCTTGTGTTCACTGCTGTATGGCCAAAAGTCATAGATTACCTTTTAATTTGTCTAACTCTACTGTTAATAAACCTTTTTCACTAGTTCACAGTGATGTTTGGGAACCATTTTTACTATCTGTTTCTGGTTACAAATACTATGTAATCTTTGTTGATGAATATAGCAAGTTTACTTGGCTTTTTCCCTTATGTTACAAGAGTGAAGTTTTTGCTAAGTTTGTGGAATTCACAGCTTATGTTGCGAATCAATTTTCTACTCACCTGAAAAATTTTCGCACTGATGGTGGCACTGAGTTTATCAATTCATCTATGACTCAATTTTTTCACACTCATGGCATTCTCCATCAGATTTCTTGTCCACATACACCTCCTCAAAATGGAGTCTCTGAAAGGAAGCATAGGTATATCACTGAGACTGCCATTGTTTTGCTTCATCATTCCTCCATTCCCATCAAGTACTGGTTTGATGCCATTTCTACAACTATCTTTTTGATTAATCGTTTGCCTAGTTCTAAAACTCCTCATTCTTCTCCTTATGAATTGTTGTTTCATAAATCTCCCGATTACTCTTTTATGCGTGTGTTCGGCTGTCAATGTTTTCCCTGGCTAAAACCCTACACATTTCATAAACTACAACCTAATCTACTTTGTGTGTATTTCTTGGTTATCATCCTTCTTACAAAGGCTACAGGTGCTTAGATCCTTTCTCTGGGAAGGTGTATTTGTCTCACCTTGTCATCTTTCATGAGCAAGTCTTTCCATTTCGTACCACCTCTGCTACAGCTACAGCCTCTGCTGCTCCTATTTCTCAGACTTTGTCTCAGCTCCAGTCTTTTTTCATGTCTCCTTCTTTAAATCTTCAGTCTTCATCTCATCCTAAGTCTGTTTCTGTCCCTCTGCAGGCTGTCATGTCTCAGCCTTCTTTGCATTCCTTTTCTACTCAGCCTACACCATCTTCTGCTCATCATTCTCAGTCTCCTGCCTCTACTGATCAGTCTCTTTCTACTGGTGTCCAGCCTGCTTCTTCTATTCTCATTTCTTCTATTTCTATTGATCTTCCTCTTCCTCCTCCTATCATTAACACTCACCCAATGCTCACTCGATCCAAAACTTCTTCTCAAGCCTTATTGGCCTCTTCTTCTTCTGCTTCTTCTTCTTACTATCTTGACATTGAACCATTGACCTATTAGCAAGCTCTTCAGTCCTCAGTCTGGCATAATGCAATGTTGGAGGAATATAATGCTCTTCTAGCCCAGGGTACTTGGTCATTGGTTCCTCTACCTTCTTCAAAATCTACCATAGGCTGCAAGTGGGTTTTTCGCATTAAGCGTAATTCTGATGGATCTATTGCTCGTTATAAGGCTCGTTTGGTTTTCAAGGGGTTTCTCCAACAAGAGGGTGTCGACTACACTGAAACTTTTAGCCCTGTCGCCAAACAACCCACCATTCGCATTTTATTGTGACAGCCTTGCATTACAATTGGCCTCTCAAGCAGTAATTCTTCTCACGTTGCCTCTCTTATTGCTCGCATGCATACTGCTTTTGCCATGAAAGAGTTGGGGAACATTTCCTATTTTTTGGGGGTCTCCATTAAGGATTATGGTGATTCTTATTTTCTGTCTCAACATAAGTACGCCTCTGAAATTCTTCTTAAGGCTGGAATGGCAAATTGCAAGCCTTGCAATTCCCCAAGTTCTGTTAAGCCTTCTCTCTCTTCAGATTCTCATATTCCATTTAGTCAACCTAAACTTTATCGCAGTATAGTTGGGTCACTCCAATACCTTATGATCACCAGGCCTGATTTGTCTCTTTCAGTTAATCAAGCCTGTCAACATATGCATGCTCCAACTGTTGGGCATTTTGCTTCAATCAAGAGATTGCTTCGATTTATTCAAGGGACTTTAACTCATGGTCTCACATTCAATCCTAGTTCTTTCGATTTACAAGCCTTCTCTGACTTTAACTGGGCTGGTGATGTTCTCGATCGTCGCAGTACTTCTGGCTATTGTGTGTATCTTGGTTCGAATCTTATTTCTTGGTCAGCAAAAAAACAACCCACAGTGTCTCGTTCCTCCACAGAGGCAGAATGCAGGTCTTTGGCGCATACTGCTGCTAAACTCACCTGGTTGTCTCTGACTCTAACTGGGCTAGTGATGTTCTCGATCGTCGCAGTACTTCTGGCTATTGTGTGTATCTTGGTTCGAATCTTATTTCTTGGTCAGCAAAAAAATAACCCACAGTGTCTCGTTCCTCCACAGAGGCAGAATGCAGGTCTTTGGCGCATACTGCTGCTAAACTCACCTGGTTGCAAATGTTGCTTTGTGAGCTTCAGCTTCCTTCCTCAGTTGCTCCAATTTTATGGTGTGATAACCTCTCGGCTATTGCCTTAGCTTCCAACCCTGTGTTTCACACTCGTTCAAAACATATAGAAGTCAATTGTCACTTCATTCGCGAAAAAGTTGCCCGCAAACAGATTTGACTCCGTTATGTTCCTTCACTGGGCCAGATTGTTGATATCTTTACCAAGCCTCTCTCTGTGTCTCGGTTCCAATATCTTCAAGCCAAGCTTCTGGTCTCTCCCGCTCCCATCAGCTTGCAGGAGGGTGATAAGACAACCACAGCAACAATAGTAGCTCCAAGTTTAGCTTTAGCTTCAGAATCAGTTGCAACTGCTCCAGCTCCAGCTGTACATTCTCAATCAGTTACATCAAGAGCATTGTATAGTCAGTTATAAATTGGTTAAGTGGTTAGGAATTGGTTAGGTAGTTACAATGAATTAGTTACAAGCTTAATTCAGCATTGTATATATAAATACAGTTGTGTAATTCATAATTCAATAATGAGAAAGAATACCCTTTTCTTCAATAGCAATAGTGATAAAAAGTGGGTCTCCAATGACTTGCTATGTTACTTGCCAAAGATGGCATATGTCATATATGTTATCAAATTTGGCAAGTAAAATAGCAATTGTCAAACATGTCACATCAGCAATATATGAACATATTTATGGCTCCAAATTCAGTTGAAAAAACAGAATTGAAACAATAGAAAACCAAGTAATTTTTTATATTTTATATTTTATTTTTCTATTTTATTTTTCAAATTGAATTATATTTATTTTTTTTCTAATTTTTCAATTTTTTTTTATATTTATCTAGTCGGGAATAATATAAATATATAATTTTTTTTACAAATAGTTAAAAAAAAGTCATAAAAGACAAAAAATAAAAAAAAATAAAATCACAAAAAAATTTATATCCAAACAACACCTATAAACTTGGAGGGAAAGTTCGTTGAGAATTGCTAAAATAGCAAGTGACCATTGGAGCACCATTACTATAATTTGGTAAAATAATACTATTCATTGCCAAATTATAGCAATAGCAATGGTATTATAGCAATAACCATTGGAGATGCTCTTATGAGTTGTAAGTTTTTGAATCAAATAATTTTTTAATTTCAAAAACTCAAAATTCCCTCCAAAACTCAATTCAAATTTTTTTTCAAAACTCATAATTAAACAAATTTTTTACACTCAAATCATAATTTCAAAACTCACAAATTCAAAATACAACTTTATTCTCAAATTATGTTTAGAAAACTCTATCAAACGCTACCATTTTATTTTTTATTTTATTTATTTATTTATTTATTTTGGGTCTTCTCTTCTTTGTACCAACCCTTGAACCTTTGACCTGAGGATTAACAGGGCATGTTTAATTCCAACAAGCTCAAAGAGGGCTAGTAATGTTTAAAACATTACCCATTCAAAAGATAGTCATTGATATTTGGCATGTGGTGTGACTATAACCACGTAGTGCACCCCTTCAACAACCGGATCAAGTTTTTATTACAAGAGAGAGAGAGAGAGAGAGCTTAGTTAGGCATATCTTTGACTTTGACTATAGATTAGATTCTCTCACCCATAATATTTTTAGAAATTGTTAATTCTTACAATTTATTTATTTATTTATATTTATTTATTATTATTTTTTTAATGTAAATATATAATATTTGAAAAAAAAATCTTCCAAAAATTTATTAAATATAAAAAATATAAAAAAAATACAAAAAAATCAATATATTTTTCTTATTCTTGTGTATTTATTATTTACAAATATTTTATTTTTTAGATATATTTAAGTAAGATGCATATAAAAAAAAATTAAAAAATTGCTTAAGATTTTATTAATATTTACTAAAAATAAAAAATAAAAAAAAACTCAATTTCTAAAAAATTAAATTAAAAAAATTAAAACCAAAATTATCTCTCTCTCTCTTTTTTTTTTTTCCTGCCTTCCTTTCAAATGGTGTAGTTTTTGCTTTTAACAAAAACAATCATAACAAAACTAATGTGCTAATCTTAATAATAATGACTACCGTGCATAAATAATTAAAAATTATTTTAAAGCTTAAATAATAATTTAAAATTAAATAAAAATACATTGTTAACAAAAATATATTCCGATCAAAGGACTATCAATATCCGATCAACATATGCCCCTCCCTTTAAAATATGTGTTTTATGTCACTTTAATATTTTAAGTTTTAATAATTTTGTGAATTTTGTTCATGAATTTATCAATTTGAGTAAAATTAGTCTAATTTCAAATTATTGTTTGAATCGTTATTGAAATAATTATAAATTTCAACTATTGTCCCTAAAATATATGTCATTGTAACGCCCTCAAATTACTAGCATTAAACTCATTAAATAAGACATGCATTGACACTCAAATGTTCCATATTCTTTCATATATCAGAGTTTCATTACAAAAGGTATTACATGTTAACAACAAAAGCAAACGCCTTACAGGCTTACAGCTTTCCAAGATAACACTTGGTTACACCAAAAGAGTACTAACTCGTACACATTAAGCCCTTGGCTTGTATTTACATAACGCCCTCAAATTAATAGCATTAAACTCATTAAATAAGACATGCATTGACACTCAAATGTTCCATATTCTTTCATATATCAGAGTTTCATTACAAAAGGTATTACATGTTAACAACAAAAGCAAATGCCTTACAGGCTTACAGCTTTCCAAACACCATGTGTGTATTTTATTACCCTTTTCCTTCACTATTTAGACAATCTGTTTGGAATGAGACAAAATTGACTCGAATTGAAATTTTTAAAGACAAAATTGACAAAATTAAAACTTAAATGATCAAAATGACAAAAACACATACTTAAAATACCACAAATGTATTTTATCCAATATATATTGTGGGAGCCAGAAAAATATAGGTGCTAGCTTATTGGGCCTAACCCAAACAAAGTCTACAAGGGTCCAGCCCAAATAAATATTACACCCCCCATCTATATAAAGGGGGGCATCCCAAGTGGAAGGTATGTCTCATCTCCCTCCATAGAACACACACCCCTTCTAATATATATATATACTATTTACTTCTTGATTCAAGGACTAACTTCATCATCGGAGTACTCCGGGCGGGCAACCCCGGTTGGGTGGCACGGACTATGTTCATCATTGTAGATCTACAGGGGTGAAGCTATTCTCTTCGTTGGATCTCTACAACATCTATGTGAGAGGATATTTCATGGTCTCACAATTGGCGCCGTCTGTGGGAACGACTGAATGAGTTCAACGAAGAACATAACAAACATGTTCTTGTAAGTAGAAATACAACCAACAACACTCTGATGGTGATCTGTTTTCTTTCTGATTAAACTGATTGTCCAACTGCTTTACAATTTTTTCTTGATTTGTATATACATATGTGCCTGCTTACAAACTCTATGAAAACTTTTGTTCATGGTAAATATTGATGAAAAAGCTGAAAAATAAAACAGAATTCATAAATCTCCTTTGGTGTCGTCATTTTCTCTCTCTAAAAATGGGTTTCACACTTTTTTGTGTGAGCACAGCTTTTCGTGAATATAACATGAGTTGCTCGGCCAAGTCCACCCTGGGACTTTCTTTGATTAATTTATTGCCTCACAAAATTTATTTTAAAGTTGATTCTTGGAATGTACATAGTCGTGCATGTGCTAACAATAAACTGGCATGAAAACATGTGTTGTGGTTCAACAACCGAACATCGAGTAACTCTCGCCTAGCGTAATCGAGTTATGCGCTGAAAACATAAGACCATCGTGGCGCAGATAGTGCGAAATCAAAGTCACAAAGCTAGAGCACTTTGAATTCTCCTAGACCCCATCTTTGATGGCCAACTACCGACCACTTGTTTCGGTAAGCCAAGAAACCAACAAAAGCCGACCAAGTGTTCTAGAAACCTAAGAGTGACGATCGGCACCAATAGTTGGGGCAAGCTCAGCAAGCACTAAGCGAATGGTCATGGAAACCGAAGTGATGTCAACACAAGTGCTCCACTTCCTGACCACAAACACAGTTTTGTCGTGTGTAGTCGAAGAATAAGAAGACCCAAGTCTGGGCCTAGATTCTCCCTAGAAATCTCATCAACACAACTCAACAAGGCTGCTCGTTAGCGTTACAGCCTTCACTCATATTCGGCGTTTAGGCCCCTGCATACGCATTTCGGCAATGTAGTGATTCCTAGCAACTTGCCCGGCAAAGCAACAATGCTACTCGGTGACTCTAAAACCCCGAGCTCCATTTGGCAACGAGAATAGCTTCGATTATTCGCCGCCGAGCACATTCTTCCGTCTACCACAACTTAGCTAAAGACAAGAGCCGAACAAAAATAAAAACAAAAAAAAAGTAAACGAATAAACTTGTTTTTGGTCAACTTTTGGAGGCCCGACAGCATCCAAACAAAAATGGAATGAGGCATCTGCATGATGGAATGAGAACTAGGCCGAGAGATGAATCCGACGCCACAAAAATGAGGCAAATCAGACTTACGACGAAGGAGTTAGCAAGGCTCAAAGTGAAGAGTTTGAACTTGAAAAATTATGCTTTTCACGAAGTTTTGCATGAAGGTGCTACATGAAGATGGCATGAGAATTTATTGTGTGCTTTTCGGCGCAAAGTGTTATGTTGCATCCTAGTTTGTTCGGATCAATCAGGTGATCCGATAACTTCGAGAATGTCTACCCTTGCATTTTTCGCTGTATAGAATCCATTTTTCGGGTCCAATTTTGCAAATTCTAAGTCTTGTATTGGGATCAATAAGTCGGCCAATTGGGAACATTAAATGATAGTTCACCGGTCAGATTGTGTCCGATCAACGTGCAATTTTAACACCAGGCTCCTAGAGTTAGGACATGATCATCCATCTTCACCGATCACTCACCTCAACTTGAATTTCTTTTACATTCGACTATTACAGCTACGGATATTCGAAAACCAACGAACCAACTTATATCCGCAATTAATTCGGCAACTTACTGACTTAATCGGCTCATTGCTTACTCGACAAGACTACTCGGCCACCCATACGTCATTGCATCAGACAATCCCACCCCATTATCTACATTATTCGGCTCACAACATTATATGTCAACTTATTCGGCAATAGAATTCATCGGCATTATGAACGCTACTTGCATATGATCACCTCGGCTTATAACTTATTCGGCAAAAATTACACCGCAACATTTCTTTTTCGGCACATTCTTTGACGTTTGCAATATCATTCTGCAGCAATATGCGACAACTTTGTGACTTATTCGGCACTAATATCTCGACATAGAACTAGCATCTCGGCTTGCCAAAATCCACATCTGAACATACCATAGGATTCGTATCAGCTCAAAGTGTCCAAACCCACCAACCCGAGAAG